AGGAATTTTACCCATATTTAAATATATATATAATGTTTTAGTTTTTTTCCCCTTGTACTATATTTCAGCACATAACTTTTTCACATGAGAAATAAAACAAACACTACAAAAATGACAGCATCATCCACTTAATTAAGAATTTCTACATTTACATGTCACAGTGAATTACTTTCTATTTGCTCTACTTTCTATTTTCTAATGTTAGACACTAATGTTAATTTAGTCAATCACTTTGAGTCCTTCCAAAATAGCCAGACTATTCTTACGCTAAATACTATACTATAGGATGCATTGGTGTATATATGGATTTTCTTGGTTAGTACATCCACTGACTGTGAAATTACCTGCATATCGTCTTCCCACAGCCAACAAACTGCTTGTTTTTGCAGCCAAATTCCACACAGGGAGGCATTTTTACTGCGTGTCTCTGTGGGAGTGGGGAGTACCAATATGGCAGATGGTGGCTTCACTTTTTTCAGGCAATTAGCAATCCAGTGAATAAATAGAGATTAGTTATAATAACCATAAACTGACATTAATAATGAAAAACAGAATTAAAGCTCTTTTCAGAACTAGTTGCTGAGTTTCGTGGGAAATAGAGGAAAGTTTAGTTGTTTTTTTTCATAAATCTGGGAGTTTTTAAAGTAATCAGAAATAAAGAACGACTGCTCATACTTTTTGATATATATACTATTCAGAACCATAAAATATACCTTTTAACAACATAGATGTTTTAACACATGTATATAATTGTCAGCTAAGTAAGAATCTAGTCTGCCTCATGTGTGTTTGTTTATTTTCCTGATGGTACAGATTGATCAGTATAGATTGATTCTAATCTAGTTCTGGCTTCATTTGGTCTCCGGTCACCCCTCATTGCAAAATGATCTTTAATCATATTGTATTCATGCATTAAGATTGGCCCAGTCAAAGGTTAGAGCTAAATCCACAGATGATCGTAATCCACTCTGACTGGGCTTGATCTACCTTTTGAGATACAGGAAAGTCTCTAAAGGAGACAGTTATGAACTTCAGAGTGCTGGAAGCTGTGGGTGCAAAGGTTCCCACTGAGAGGCTGAACAAAATAGATGCCACACTATTCAGATTTTCATTTCTAAAAATTTTTTTTTGAAAACCAAAATTTAGCAATTCATTTTTTTAAATCTTTTAAATCCCAATAAAAATATTGAGGTGAGGGTTTTTGTAGAATGTGACAAGCTTCTAGCAGAATAACTACTTTTGCATTGTGTGGATTTGTATTTAATATGCTGTAGTTTTCCAAAATATGATCTCTGCCTTTTATTTGTTTTCCTCCTGAGATTGAAATGGCTTGTATGAGCTGCAAAACACGCAGTATTCCATATCCCACTCGCTAACCTGCTGATCCTTCTGCCGCCGTGCCAACAGGGACTCAAATGGTCGAAGGCGCTCCAGTTCCAGCTCCTGAGAAAGCAGGCTGCTGTGGGCCTTTTCCAGCTGGGCACAGAGATGCTGCACCTGTGAGCAGCACTCCCTGTGCTCCCGCTCCACTCGCCATGATGCCCACTGGCTCTGGGAATGAAGCATAACACCTTAAAAATAAAGAGATCCTTGCAGCTTCACATTCAAACTTTTTGTGGTTTAAAGGCAGCAAACATACTGTTACATTAATATGGGAGATCTCCTCAGTTAGGCTCTTATTCTGCGCCTCCAGGTTTGTCAGCTGCTTTTGGTACTCTGCCCTCTGTTGCTCCCACTCTGCTGAGTACTGCTGATGTTCCTAAAGGAAAAAAAGCATTAAGGTCTACATTATTATCAGTGTTTTTATTGGAACTTATGTAACCAATCGAAATGGAGGAATAAATGTAGTAAAGTAACCTTTGAATTCTCTGTTCCTTTTGTTTCTCCGCTTGTCTCCTTGAGCTGTTTGCGTTGCAGTTTTTGGTAACTTCTCTTTAATTTGTTAAGCTGAAAGGAAGCATGTCCAGAATCATTAGCTCACACTTTTAAATGCATGTTCTTCTTAATAAAATAACTACAACTACACTGGAAAAACGATCTAGAAATAAGTAAACGTTTCTGAAATTAATTGTATTTACCCTTAATTTGAGGAAGTAAATGAGATAGTTTGCCAATGGAAGGAGTATTTTTACTCTTAAAATAAGATAATCAGATAATATGCACTCGAAATAAGACAATGCAATTGTGTTTTCTTATTTTAAGTGTAAATTGTCTTGTTCCATTGGCAAAATGTCTCTTTTACCTCCTCAATCTAAGAATAAATGCACCTATTTTAAGACAAAATGACTAATCTAGATTTTGATGTTGTCCAGCGCAATATGCTCACAGATAAACCCTTGAGCTGTTTGCTCTCCGATGGATTAGTTGTCTCACCTCTTCCTGGAGTTTCTGCAGTTGTTGCTCGTACTTTGCAACTACATCTTGGCGACCTCTCCGAGCGTCTTCCAGCTGTTGGTGAAGTAACCCAATCTGCAATAAAACAAAAGAGCACATTGGTAAAAAAAAAAACTTGATCAAGGCTCCAAATTCCTCATGTGGTAAAAAGAGACAAAACAACCCAAAAAACGCTCACTGATTGACAGAAGTCTCACAGGTAGGGCTGGGCGATAATTCAATAATGATATATATCGATCGATAGACGTGTGGCGCAATAGAAAAAAAGAGAGTCGATAAAAGTTCGATAAAGAAACGCAGTTTTCCTTCCTTCTCATTGTAGCCTATCATGTAGATTTATGCTAGTCACTACTTCCTCCCAACCAATTGCAATCGCGGACTCAGGAACACCATCATAAACACCCGCCCTCTCAAACCGTCTATTTATTTATTTGTTATATTTATTTTGGTCACTTTTCTGGTCACTTTAGTTTATTCTTTGTCAGTATTTAATAACATAACTCAGGTCTATTAAGTTATTTTTCTTTAAAACAATTCTGTTATGGTTAAAATAGTTGGTTAAATAAAGATTTAATTCGAAGTCTGTGTTTGTGTTCTTTATTAAAATTAAATCATTTAGCAATATCATAAAATGTCCAGGCAGAGCTGCACATAAAATATGGTTTCAAATCTTTTCAATAATTATCAATATCGATCAATATGCATTTTTTTTTATCGATGACCTTTTTTTCTATATCGCCCAGCCCTACTCACAGGTTTGGATACTTTGTGGAAGGTTTCCTTTTTCTGTTTTTTTTTTTTTTACCTCCAGGTCCCTTCGTTCAATAATGTTTTTAGAGGCTAACAGCTCCTCCTCTCCGTTTTTCACCCTGAGCTCCAGGGCGCACATCTCAGCTTCCCACTCCCTCTTTTGGTGGCTGATCATGATGTCTATCTGTCGCATCAATTCCTGGAGCTCTGGCTCGCATGACGACAGGACAGAGCTACAAGATAAATAAAACCGTTCGTTACAGCGGAGTAGCCAGAAAGTCCTAATAGGGGCGGCCAAAAGGCACCAAAACCTCAGGGTCAATCTACACTGTTCCAACAGGAACGAGCACAACATCCATATTTTCTAAATAAAGACAAACCATACTTTCCTGCAGCCTTTGGATATATTTAAACATCTATGCTGTGTAAATAAAAGGTATAGTGGACAAAATTCTTTCAGGTTTAAGTTCTGGGGCTAACATATTTTACATTGTCATTACTTTCATCAATAATAATTCTGTGATCAACTATAATAATAATAGTTGATCACAGGCCATGGCCACCCCTGGCCCCCCATCTAGCTCCGCCCCTGGTCATTTAGAGCTAGTAACATATAAAATAATATTGAGAAACCGAAGTTGATGTTACCTAAAGTCAGGATTCTGCATAGAGTCCAGAGGAGCCTCCATTTCGATCAGGTTGTTAGAGTTCAGGCTCATAGAACAGGTTCTTCATGCCTTCCACTGCTTCACTAAATAATGAACGTTACACAAAGTTTCATGTCAACCAACTGAACCCAGCAACAGCAAAGCAGCTTAACTAATGTAACAGACCGATGTAAGGACAGAGCATCTACGTACAACAATTAACGTTATAAAGAGAGTTTAGTAGATACAGAATCTGGCGACTAAAAGTCAGTAAAAAACTATTTGTTTACATGGGTAACCGCTTAGCAGCATATTTCTACCGCCTTTCACTGATTTCAGACCCATTGACTTCCTGCAGTAACTCCGCCCAACACGGTGACCTCAGCACGTTGTACGTGAATCTCATCCAAGCTGGCTCGGTTTTTTGCAGCCGAATAGGACCAACGGCTTTTCTAAAACAGAAGGTATTATAATCGGGTAATAGTTTAAACGGTATTGCGCGTCTGACATAAATTTCCATGACTCATAAAACCGATCTCGTCCGGCGAGCCGCATCTATTATATCTCATATGTGTTTTGTAAGGACACGTGGCTCGTTGGTCTAGGGGTATGATTCTCGCTTCGGGTGCGAGAGGTCCCGGGTTCAAATCCCGGACGAGCCCTCTTTTGATGACCTGTACCGTTGCTATTTTCCGGGTTTTCTTTGTATTTCTATGACGTAAGAAGCTTTATACCACGCGTTTCTACAGCTATATAGATAAATATACGCTATAAATTACCTTGTTGATAAAGCAATGCTTTCCTTTTAGTTTGTTTTTTTTATGAAATATGACCATGAAAATACGCCAAAATCCAAAATATTTTTGAAACTGAGGTTAATGATGATATGCCGCTTCGCTGTCCGTCTCATGCCTGTAAATTGATTCCTCCTTCCACTTGACTTAAAAGAACAAAACTGAACTGTCTTCCATGGACCGTTTCGCACTGATACAAACGGGCTTTCTCTGGCGGGGAGGGGGGTCGTTTTTCACAAAACAAAATAGCAAAAAATAGAGTATGCCTGCACGTAGAAATATGTGTGGGGATAAAGACTCTGTGGTGATAGTTCGTACGTGTGGCTCGTTGGTCTAGGGGTATGATTCTCGCTTTGGGTGCGAGAGGTCCCGGGTTCAAATCCCGGACGAGCCCCGTTTTTATTATTGTTTTTCTCCCTTTATCTATAGTTTCTATTGCGAGTTCTTTTTCAAAGTTGTTTTTTTGGTATACATAAAACTCACCAAGCCCTCTGTTAATACCAGAAAGCTTCAGCAGCTCTTCCTCCCATTCTTTCCACACCCCCTCCTTACCCCTTTCCTTTCTGCCCTGTCTCTCCACCTGCTTGCTGTCAAAACGCCAAACAAAGAGCGTCTCCACCTCTCTGCTCCCCCAGCTGTTGCTGGGAGGGCTTAGGTCCGGGAGAAATAAAAGAGAGAGACATTTATGTTCCGCCCCCAAAAGCTGTGCAGACAATCCTAACAGGAGGCAGACGAGCCGGGCTTTCTCACAGAAAGTGACACTGAACCACAGAGAGCAGAGGAATCAGCTCCAAACAAGGGTCAAGTGTAAGTACAAGGATACTACTGTAAAGTTAATTCTTAGTTTTAAATATTATTAGACTTTTTACAGGTGTTTAATGCTTTCATATCTTTCCATCATCATTTTTAAGCTTTGATTGTAAAATTTCCTAAGCTTGAGTTTAAGTATCTTTTTATTTATATTAAATTTCCAGTTTAGTGAAAAATGTTGTTGCGCAATTTGCTTCTCTAGTGAAACCCGGTATCTTGATCAACGGCTGTCACCTGCTTTGACACGTCCTCTCTGATCCCCCTCAGGGATTCCCAGCAGGACGAGGAAAGAAACGCCCAGTCTGAGCTCCACCATGGTCCTGTGTGAGGATGGCGAGTGCAGTGTCTGCCTCCTGCCTTACTCCCGCACAGACAGGATCCCCCGGGTGCTCCACTGCAGACACACCTTCTGCGAGCTGTGCCTGGAGACCATATCCCGGGTCAGGAGCGGCCTCCTCACCGTGGCCTGCCCCCTGTGCCGCCGGGTGACCTGCATAGGCAGAGGCCTCAGCCTGCCGGAGGCCCTGTGGGTCAACAGCAAGCTGTGGGAGCAGATACCACAGCTGCTGACAGAGGAGGAGGAGGATGGAGAGAAAGGAAGAGCCGAGGTGGAGAGGATGGAGGCTAAACAGCAGCCCTCATTACAAGCAGAGTGGTGGGTTTATGAAAGGAAACAACTTTTACTGAAAAAACATCTATTTTAGTCTTCCCTGGTAATTGATTTTCCATGACTGTTTTGTCTTGACTCTACACAAAGATAACATAAATATGGGGGCTTCTTTCTAGGAACCAAACGCTGTGGGCTGAATTTAAGAATTCCCCACATACCCAGGCAGTAACACTTCAGTGTCAAGCTGCTGATTTGTCCACAGACTTCCCATTAGCACCCAAACTCCTCTGTGGTGCCGCATTCTGTCACAGCAGCTCAACTCTCTGTCCCGTCTCATTATATGTTGCAGCGGTTCCTCCAGGCCTTCTTCCACGAGGCTCAGACTGCCGGCCATCTTCAGGAGGTTCAGCTGGACCAAGCAGCAGCGGGAGACCATCATCCCTGACAGCAACGTGTGAGTTTATTTATTTATCCTCTGCAGGCAGATTACAGCAGATTATTTAAAGCAGGAAGGAAACTGATAACTTTTTTTGTTTGTTTTTTCTTTCTTTAGAGAAATGAAATCATGGCGCAGACTCTCAGCGGATGATATCTTTTAAGGAATTACATTTTACAGCAAAGAAAAGGAAAAAAAAAAAAGAAAAAGCAAACCCTGTTTGTTAGTTTTCTGAAGGTGGCTGGTCTTCACTTCATTTCTACCAGGATTAATTCTCCCAGCTGGTGCTGTGGGATTTAGTTCAGCTGTCCCAGTGGGGCTAAAACCACCAAGACCCCCTCAGAGCAGATGGTCTGGCTCCTCATTACTGAACGTAACTTATCCTTTATTTATGTTAGTTTGTCGACAAAGAGTTTGTAATTAAACTATTTTTAAATAAACTGTTGTTTTATTTGACTTGGAAGTTTTTTTTCTGGATCAAAAGAATCTCGACTCCAAACTACTACTTTCATGATGCCTAAAACAGAAAAAATAAAACCTGTTTTATTTATTTAATATGATAATGTGAGCAGAACGTCTGAGGACAGGAAACACACAAAAAAGTGCTTTATACAAAACATTCAGTCAGCCGTGAAAGTGGATTATGATCTTCATTCATCAAGCATCTGGCAAATTTATTTATGTCAGATAATATCAGAGGACTGGATCAGCACTTTCATGGAGCTGGCCTTTGTTCCCTCCTGCCTCAGTCTACGCTCGTCTTGGATTTTTTTTGTGTCTGCTGTCAGGAGACCAAAAAAAAAGGGGGGAAGGGGGGGATCTAGGAGTTAAATCTCATTTTGAAGCCATGTTTAAGCAGAACCTGTGGCGCTTCACTCATATTAAGGTCAGTGCAGAGAGAAATCCGTTAGTTGTCTCACTGGTTTGGCAAACAGACTGCATCTGCTGGGAATCTCTTAAAGAGACAGTACTCCTTCAAAACCTGCTGCTGCAGCACGCTGCACAGCCTTTTAATTTCTACTTATTAAATGGGACATTTATATATTTCATGATGTATTTTGGCTCTCCATACATATACCTCACCGTGATTGTGTCCTGACCCCCACTTTGGGAACCCCTGTGATAGAGCAACACAAATTACAGCATAAGTATGAAGTGGAAGGAGAACATTTGACAATTTTTAATATATAAATGTGCTTCAGGAAGCTTCAGGTATTTCCTAAAGCTTAAACTCTTAGTTGTATTAATGGATGGATGTTAACTAGGCCATTTTATCACACATGGAAATGATTTCTTTGAGATCTTTTCATTATAAAATTTTACCTTAAACTTTTCATGCTGCAGGTAACAATATTCCTGACATTTTGAATTGAAAAAACTTCCTGGATGGGAAGTGAAATGTTTTCAAACTTGAAAACAAAGTCCAGTGGATTGTTTTTAAGTTTCTTTTTTTTTTAATTCATGCTGCAGGAAACTATTCCCACAGCATAATGCAGCCCCCACCATGTTTAATATTGTGAGATTGTATTTAAAGGCTTGTTTGATTTAGACTACATATAACATCTGGATCTGACTTGAAGCTTGGTATGCTGCATCAGACGTCTCTAGGAGTTTCTCCCTGATCTGTCGCCATGTTCTGTGGTCAATATTATGCTGTCTGTTCACTCATGTCTGTAGAACCCTCTGCCCTTCACAGAACGGCTTAGCTGTTATATAGACGAACTTTTGACGCAGTTGGAAATGGTGGATTTGTTAGGGCCTGAATGCATGGGCGCCAATTTTTTAGAGCCACATTTGCACAAATTTGCAAAAAAAACAATTATTGTTTTTCTGTGAACTACTTTGATTAGTTTTTCTAAAGCCTAGTTATAAAATAAAAGGAAGTTAAGTGTTGTCACTGTACTAAAATGAGAATTTTTTATTATTTCCGTTACAGTGCACGTAAAAATCTGTGCACTGGTAGAATGGACTACGTGAGTAAACCTGCAGAGACAAGCTATGCCTGGTTTCTGTTTCCCAACACGTTTTCTGACTCATCCTGAGTTCCCTGTACTGCTGGTTACTGGGATTAAGGTCGAACTGGGAAGGATGGAACTCCCAGTCGGGTTACAAATATTCCTACTTTCGGAAGCAGGGCCGGCTCCAGGCTGGATGCAGCCCAAAGCAGAATGTAATTTGGGGCCCCTCTTTCAGCTAAAGCAAACATAATTATTACAGAGCTGGTGGGGTCATCATGATCGGGGGGCAAAGGTTAATGTTGTGTTTGCAGTCAGCTTAAGATTTAGATAGGAACCATATGGGCTGTTTCCCAGGGTGACAATAGAGGAAAGGAGGGGGAAACACATAAAAATGTCTCTGTCCTCAAAACGTTTTTTTTTTTTCTTTTCTTTTATACATTTAGGCCATGGGAAGTTTGATCTAATTTTCAGTATCAGCAAAGTTTATGTACTTTGTATGACACTGGACAGCATTTCATCATTCCCCAGAGTGTAAGAGTACAACACTGCATGGGGGCGCCTCCGTTATGATGATCAATGCCTGGAAGTTGGTCCTGAAATGAAAGGTGGTCGATTTCGATGAATATTAAACCCACAGACTTTAGGTTTAGGTTGAAAACATATTATATATAAATATATTTATTATAAATAAATATATTTATATATTTATTATTTTAAAGCATCGTGTAAACAAAGAACAGCTTTAACATCTCTAAAGGAAGCAGTCAGGGATCATTTATGTTAAAAAAAAGCATGAAATTAAAGTAGATATTAAAACTTAGAACTGCCTTAAGTATTAAAATGAAAGAATTTCACATAAAACAAAAAGCCAGATGAACTAACCATGTTTATAAACAAAAACGTAAGAATAAAACGTAAATAATAATAATTAATAAGAAAATAAATAATAATAATGTTGCTGTTGATCTAAACATAAAGTGTTATATTATAGATGAATGTGACCTCAGTTCACACACAAGTGGCAGAAATAATCTTTCAATAATTATTGTATAAAAACATACTAACTATGAAGGTTTTTATTAGTATATAAACAATAAATATGTCCTCTGTAAATTTCATACCCTTAATCGGCAGTAAGCTCTCAGAGAAGTAGTTTATCAGACAGAAATGATCATTTTATTGTTCTATTATTATTAAGGTTTAATGATAAACTTTGCCAAAATACAGACAGCTCTGGATGCCCGACATATTTAGGACATTATTTGACAACAACATTGTGCAATTATTTACCAAGATTAGCTCAGAAAATTAAGTAAAATGCATCCTGTGTTGGTATGATTAATCCACACAAACAGTCACCTTGTTTGTGTTGCTTTACAACAAAGAGTTAAGCTAAAGAAGATGTGGACACATGTAAACATATATACCTCCACTTTTTGATCCTTATTAATTTGCAGGAATGAAAGACGAATGGAAGACAAAACATCCAGACATGGTGTCTCTCTCCAGTGAGGAGGCAAAGTGCACCTGGGACAAACAAACACTCACTGCTGTTTTTCATTATTTTAATCTGTCTTTTGCTATTTCTTTAGTTAAATATATGAAACCTTTTTGCACTCATCATAAATCCAACCTGCTCAGTTTTTAATTTCTTTTTGATTTTTCGTTTGTTTTTGAAATAACTAATAAAAGGAAAATTAAAACCGCTACAGCAGCCATGAATGTCTGTAGAGGCTGGTTGATCTCTAATTTGAGGCAGGGAAACACCTGGATTAACACACCCCCTCCCCATCCACATTGGACCCTATTTATAACCAATAAGACACCAAGCAGGGCGAATGAAATCGCTTATTGGACTAAATTTGGACATTGAGACTAACCCTTGTTCTTACTTTTATTGCCAGTGTATAAGACATTAATATCTATGTGTATAATTACATGGAACAGCAAAATTACATGGGTATGCAAGCTGTATGTAGACTGCTTTACAACCTTTAACTGTTTAAAATAATTATAAAAGGTTGAAAAGGTTGAACTCACATTTGATAAAAATTATAATGCTTTGAAAATTTACAATTTTGACATCAAAATCTTGTAGATTCCCCTCTAAGATATGAGGAACAAAGGCTTTGAAAATGTGCATTTTCCACATTTAGGGAAGTATTTGTTTATCTTCTATTTTTTTATTGTAAAAAAACAAAAAAACATTTGTATTCATCATAACTATATTTTATGTTAAAATACCTGAACTTGTTAACTGATGTTCAGGCCTCAGAAAAATCTACAAACTATTGCGCACTATGAGACAAATATTAAAAATTTGTCAGTCTGTATCATTAACTTATATTAGTAATATAAAAAAATAAATAAAATATCAAGAACAAAGCTAGATATGTGGGGCCTCCAAAGCAGATGAACAGATAATATTCAGAAACAAATCTAATCTGAATCTAAGTAATGAAATCTTGAATAATGAAAGAAACAGATGCAGACAATAGAAAAAAGGAGGAGACACAGGTGAAAGGAATCTAATAACCAACCAAAGGCTCAGGCTGAGGGAGAAAATATTAAACGGGGGGAAAAACCAAGGGAGAACCTATCCAATAATATAGAAATATTGACTCAAGAAAGAAAAGTAATAAAAACACCAAGAAATATGCAAGCATGTAGATGCTCAGTAATTATCTTTTAGTAGCTCCAGAATTATATCACTAATTGTAGATGATTTAAACTGAACTTTAAGACTCTTCTAACCATCTCACCTGGGCTGAGAGGGCAACTTTGACATTTTTTCCCCAATAAAAAAAAAAAAAAAATTCTGCTGTAATTAGTAGTGTTGCACTGATGCCATTTTTTGCGTCGATACCTGGCTGTGCAGTATCGGCCGATACCATCTGTTTGAAATTGATGTGTGTGTGTGTGTGTATATATGGAGAACTGCATACTACTTGGATGTAAAATAATTGCCACCATGGCTTTGTCACGCTGCTGCCTACCTTTGTGAAGCAGGAAAAAGACTAATACAAAGTGAATCCAGTAGAACTTTTTGCCTACCTGGATCGGGTGACAATAGTTGAACTTTTGGCTCTTAAAATGGTATCAGTGCCCTATTTGTTGGTACTTGCCAATACCGGTGCAACACTAATAATTGGTGTCAATTTTTATTAAGTTATGAAGAACCATGGTTGAGTGTCTAAAGAGCCACTTGCGGCCCCCGGGACCATAGGCTGCAGACCCCTGCTGTAAGGTTAATCTATATGGCTGATGGGGAAAGCTAACATTTGGTTATTTTACTGGACACACCTCGGTCCCCGGGGTTCTCACAGATATAGAGCACACTCAGTGACAACTTGTGACAGTAATATTATTTCAGGGTTTTATTTCAAGAAACAAGCATAAATCTATTAATTCTTTATTACTATTTAAATCACATCAAATGATCGGGAAATTAAAGAAGTACAAAAGAAACTCTGGGATAAGGTTGGTAATAAGACATCTTTATTAACCTTTTGGAGAGACATGCTAGATGTCTGTACAGTGTGAATGGGAACCGGTTCAGCACTAATCCGGTTCAATGCATTGATCTGTAATGACACAATGACAAAAGTCTGCAGGGAGACCACCACCACCCCCTTCTCTGACAGGTAAAGATCTCATTTAAGTCCATCTCTGTGAAATGCTGAAATGGTATGAGGTGGACTTTATTTTTGTACCTTTTGTACCATCATGAACTATTACTCTTGAGTTTCCAAAAATTGGTCTTATTACAAGGTTGTAGAGTAAGGAACTTAGAACATCCTGTTGTGAAATAAATCCACACAGAGCTTCAATGGCACTTTATTTTGGTCTGTCTCCTGGTAAAGAAATCCTGCAACATTTAAGCATTATTATTTGGCTCAATATGTTGGTTAGAGGGTGTTTGTTTTCTAGAAGAGTACTCCATAAATAGATGTGTGAAAACAACTCCGAAGTCAATGCTTCTGATCTAGCGCGAACTACTCCAAATTGTATGGATATTAACAATGAACATTTTCCTAAAACAGTTTATGTTTTGACTCTAAATCTAAAACACATTCTGCAAAAGTGCTGTAAAGACTTCACATCAAAGACACGTCAAATCCAAGTAGTGTTTTTTTTTTTTAGCACTAGCTGAGTTCACCACCAGAATGTTAAGATAGCTGCCCCCTAAGGAGGGAAGGAAATTAACATTCCTTAATGTCAAGATTTCATTCAGTTTTAACACAAGCAGCAAAGAAAACCCAGATGTGGAAACACATTGTGCAACAAGTTCATTAACAAACACATTTTTGAATTAAGCCACCGTACAACTTCGTAATAACCTGAAAGGTCTACATGTGCAAATTAGTCATTAGTCGGTGAGGAAACAGGAAAGAGATGTTGAGGGTGTGGATGATCTGTCTGCACAAAGCGAACTGTGTTCACCGATACATGGCTGCGGGATGGACTCCATCACTGCTAATTAACAGGAACTGGACACTATCTGTGACATAAAAACTGAAGTTGTTCTATGAGGAGCCGGGATGCAGTGGGAGTGAAGTGAAGTGGCCCTCAGTGGAGCTGTGTTCGAATGAGGTTGATACAAAAAGCACAAATTTACAACACGGAAAGAGCAAAAAATAAAATAAAAAATTAAGTGGTAAGAAGTCAAGTATACAAACCCAGCTCCTAGAATGCTGTGGACGCAGCGCATCATGTCGCCGGTGGGATATTACTTTTTTTTTTTTTTACTTGTGTTTACAGGTAGATGGTACCTATGCTTTACAACTAGGCATGCAGTACATACTAACTCTGGACTCGACAGTTCAGACTGATCCTTGATGTCTGAAATACAAATGTGTGGGTACCAGCAGGGCTACAGGCAGGAAGGTTGTGACTGGCTGTTCCGTAATTAATTCTGAGATACTGAAGAAGAGTTATGATGTGTGGAAAATCTATACAGATCAGGATCCGTGTGATTTCTCAAAATTGTTTCGTCATACAACCTGTCTGTTCTTCAGGCTCTCAGTGTTCTTGTCCCTAAAGATGGAAACAAACTTCCAGAGGGATTCATCTGATAATGCAAAAAAAACAGGAAACAAAACGACAAGGAAGGCTTTTACTTCCCCCATTAAAAAAAATGAATCTATTCTCAGAATGGGGATATTTGATTCCCCCCCCCCCCCCCCCCCAGTTTCACCAAGTTTCTTTTTTTTTTTTTTTTTGGCATTTTTGTTGACAAAGAAGACCCAATTTCACATATTGCTAGTTTCAACCAATGACCGGCGGTCGGGTGAAGAAACCAGGATCTTAACGTGCAAAGTCAACAGCAAGTTAACCAATAGAAAGCAACGTAACAAGCGGTGTGGTGCAGATGGTGGAATCCCATGACGGAGCCTCAGCACTAACAGGAGCAGCCGCTTTCGGTGGTCTGGGGCTCCTGGGGTCTGTCCAGCTTTATGTCGATCACTGCGAAATATTATTAAGGAAGCAAAGAAATGGACTGAAACATGTTTAAGGTAAGTAGACAAAAGAAATGAACAGGCACATTTCTATTTTTTAAAATTCCTATCATGCAGGATCATCAAACACAATAAGACTTTTCAAGTGTTAACATTTGCTTAATTTTAATTACAGCTCATTATAAACCAAAATGAACTTTGCCAGAAATATGAAATAAGACAAGACAATAATTTGGAATATTATGCTTTGGTCATATTATGGTTTAAGCAGTGATAAGAGGGCTGCATCTTTAATAATCAGAGGCCTTGTGGCCACCATTTTGGATTAATAAAACACATTTAAAGCTGCATATGATACATCACCTTAAAAAAACAAATAATAATTCTTTAAACTTTGTTAAATATCTACATGGATATAATTGTTATTTAAAGGCACACTGTAACTTTTGGCTTCTAGGGAAGCTAGACCAATAACTTTCACGTCTAGGGCGCGCCGCAGTACTGATGTAAAAGTCAACAGCCAGCCAGCCTCCTGTGTCTTTTGATTGGGGACTGCACTGATCGTCTAGTGCCCAATTTACATTGACCCTCTGAAACGGATCTATGCCGAGTTCGGACCTAGCTTGGATCAGTTAATCATGCCGAGGTTGGTTCTTCATAACTATTTTCACATCACCCTAGCACGGTTCCTCACCTCGTATCAGCAGCCCATGATACTACAGCTCTCAAGGCGGGAATTAAGCAAACAAAACATAATATTTAAGAACTTATGTGCCTGGATAGCATCCTCCGCCCAAACTTCAATGACATCCTTGGTCTCTGCATCATCCCAGGTCACACAACGCTCTTTTGATGCTGTTTATTGCTAATAGGCTGAGAAAAAGTTTGTGTTATGAACAGGCGAAGAGATCTGTGCCGGACACACCAGAAAACCTGCAAAATAAGTCAGCAAAAGTGATCTGTAAAATGTAGTTTGAAAATAATGCAGTTCCATATCTCAATTTGAAAAAGAGAAATGTAAACATATAAAATCGGAAACTGAAACAGATGTGAAAAAGAATCTGATAAACACCAATTTTACTCTTAAAACCTTTTTTTGGTTTAAAGTTTTTCCACGTCATTTCTGGACAGGCATGTTCATAGAAAGTTGTGCGGAAAGAAACAGAAGGCTTATTCAGTAGTTTTGCAACTGAAATAAGTTTATCTAAAGCAAATAAAACGACATGACTTGAACCCTACGAGAATCTTCTAAATATTTTCGAGATAAGGATCGGCTGGCCCAACAGTGCAGACGAGCTGAAGGTCTGTATTACATCAAGCAAAGGTGGCTGAGCACCTCCAGGCCACAAAAGGAGCTCCAAAATTAAAATGAATGGACATGTTAAACTAGCCTTATATATAGCAGTCTTTTCTAAAATAAAAAAATAGGGGTTTTCATAAGCTGCGCACACATCAAAATGAACAAAATTAAACTCTGTGTATGATAATTAAAAAATTAGAATTTTTACCTTTTAAACGGAATAAACAAGAAATTAATATTTGGTGATATTCTGATTTACTGAGATGTATAGAAATGGTTAAAAGGGAAGAGAGAAATTGGCTGTGGTACTTATTTCCAACCACTAGATGGCGCCTTTTCCTGCATTTTGTTCATTTAACAGCCAGTTTCTGAATGTATAAACATCCATTCATCAGTGTCTGTGCAGAGGCACATTGGGTCGGGTTCATAGTGAGAGGATGGGTCGTCAGGGTAACAAACAACCGCATACAAAAACTTAATCTCATAGGAGAATATAGTGCAACAAATACATCCAAGATGCTAGTTTTGAAGCTAATAAAAATGAAGAGAACAAAGCAAACTAATGCAGAAAAATCAATAGTTGGGATTTGAACCCATGACCTTTTTTGCTGAGAGACAACATGTATAAATAGAGTCCTGTTTTCAGTCTAGGAAATGAGTTTGTTGCAAAAATCATTGGCCATGTCTCTTCTTCTATAGCTTGAATCGCTGTGGAACAATTAAAGCTGCTCCAGTTGTTGCACTAATGAGCAAATACTGCAAGTCACAACATATGGAAATTATTATTTTCTTTTAATGAAGCAGGTTGAACTATTGCTAGTGGTATCCTTTGAGACAACACAGAACAAACTTTGTCTTTAAAAGACAAAAAAAGCTCATCATGGCTTAATGCTTGCTAACACCCCTCCCCGCAACACTGCAAAAACAATCCAGAAATAAGTAAAAAATGGCTTAAATTAAGTATATTTAGCCTTAATTTGAGCAGGTAAATAAGATGATTTGCCAATGGAATGAGTATTTTCCCTCTTAAAATAAGATAGTTAGATAATATTTACTTGAAATAAGACGATAAAATAGTTTTTTCTTATTTTAAAAGGAAATTGTCTTGTTCCATTGGCAAAGTGTCTTACTTATCTCCTCAAATCAAGGAAAAACACACTTATTTTAAGAAAAAATAACTTATTGAGATTTATATTTTTTGCAGTGATGAAAAAGTGGATTGATTTCAGTAATTCCATTTAAAAAGTGAAACTTGTATATTATATTCATACATTACATACAAACTCATATATTTCAGATGTTTATTTTGTTTAATTTTGATGATTACAAATGACAACAAATGAAAATCTCAAATTCATCATATCAGAAAATTAGAATATTGTGAAAAGGTTCAAAATTGATGGCCCCTGGTGCCACACTCTAATCAGCTAATTAACTCAAACCACCTGCAAAAGCCTTTAAATGGTCTTTCAGTCTAGTTCTATAGGCTACACAATCATGGGGAAGACTGCTGACTTGACAGTTGTCCAAAAGACGACCATCGACACCTTGCACAAGGAGGGCAAGACACAAAAGGTCATCGCTAAAGAGGCTGGCTGTTCACAGAGCTCAGTGTCCAAGCACATTAATAGAGAGGCAAAGGGAAGGAAAAGATGTGGTCGAAAAAAGTGTACAAGCAAGAGAGATAACCGCACCCTGGAGAGGATTGTGAAACAAAACCCATTCAAAAATGTGGGGGAGATTCACAAAGAGTGGACTGCAGCTGGAGTGAGTGCTTCAAGAACCACCACACACAGACGTATGAAAGACATGGGTTTCTGCTGTCGCATTCCTTGTGTCAAGCCACTCTTGAACCACAGACAGCGTCAGAAGCGTCTTGCCTGGGCTAAAGAGAAACAGGACTGGACTGCTGGTGAGTGGTCCAAAGTCATGTTCTCTGATGAAAGTAAATTTTGCATTTCCTTTGGAAATCAAGGTCCCAGAGTCTGGAGGAAAAGAAGAGAGGCACTTCATCCACGTTGCTTGAAGTCCAGTGTAAAGTTTCCACAGTCAGTGATGGTTTGGGGTGCCATGTCATCTACTGGTGTTGGTCCATTGTGTTTTCTGAGGTCCAGGGTCAACGCAGCCACATACCAGGAAGTTTTAGAGCACTTCATGCTTCCTGCAGCTGACCAACTTTTTGGAGATGCAGATTTCATTTTCCAACAGGACTTGGCACCTGCACACAGTGCCAAAGCTACCAGTACCTGGTTGAAGGACCATGGTATCCCTGTTCTTAATTGGCCAGCAAACTCTCCTGACCTTAACCCCATAGAAAATCTATGGGGTATTGTGATGAAGAAGATGCAATACACCAGACCCAACAATTCAGAAGAGCTAAAAGCCACTATTAGAGCAACCTGGGCTATCATAACACCTGAGCAGTGCCACAGACTGATCGACCCCATGCCACGCCGCATTGCTGCAGTAATACAGGCCAAAGGAGGCCCAACTAAATACTGAGTGCTGTACATGCTCATACTTTTCATGTTCATACTTTTCAGTTGGCCAACATTTCTATAAATCCTTTGTTTTTATTGGTCTTCAGTAATATTCTAATTTTCTGATATGATGAATTTGAGATTTTCATTTGTTGTCATTTGTAATCATCAAAATTAAACAAAATAAACATCTGAAATATATGAGTTTGTATGTAATGTATGAATATAATATACAAGTTTCACTTTTTAAATGGAATTACTGAAATCAATCTACTTTTTCATGATATTCTAATTTTATGACCAGCACCTGTACCTGCTGGTGCACATAGAGGTGCTGCAGCAGCAGTCTCTTGTTTATGTGCCAACTAAAGCCCTGGCCTACATATTACGTGCAAACTAGCTTCCAACAGTCCCTGTGTGGCTGTCAAACGGCCATTATGCGGTGGGGCTTTGCACCGCGGACCGTTCCCATAGTTTATGGTAGCATGCCACTGCTATAAGATGCCATTTCAAGGGCAGCGTTTTTTAACAGCTCCTACTGGAGCGTTCCCACGTGGGCCGTCTTCTGTCCGGGGAAAGTGAAAGCTGGCATCAGCTGTCGACATCACCAAACCAAATGAGGCTTGTCAGTCATGAATATTTCACTCAGAAGCAGTTACAGCTCCGGCTCATTGTAGTTACTCACAAGCCTGTTTGAATTTTAAGACTTTCTGACAGGAGTTTGTTGACGCCTTTGTGTCTGAGATTAGATGGGAGGGAAGGACTTTTTATATCGCTAGGAGACAAAAGCAGATGGAAATCAAAAATTTTAAGAAAATACAAAGCGATGAATTATTAATATATCAGGAGTAGATATTTCTTCCTAATCCATGAAGGGAGGTTCAGAGGAGAAGTCACCTCATTGAAAACAACAACAGGACAGCTGACTGGAATCCAGCCGTTGCTCATGAAGTATTATTTACTGTGCAGTCTGAACTGCGGAGGAGAAGCTGCACCATTATTTGCTGCTTTTGCATTTAGGTTCAAACTTAAATCCCAGAGGAACGATCTGGTGTGATTAAACTGCTTTCTCCAGATCCTAAGGAAGACTAATACGTCAAACTGAAAGGAAAACTGAGAGTCAAGCTGCTTTGCATGGAAATGCTTTTTCCACATATTGTTCCAATTCAAGCACAAACCCCGCTTTATTGGATTTTTTTTTTTTCCATCACAGATTACAAAAAGAAA